CTTGTATCTATAAACTGAGGACCTGGGGGGGGATTCTGTGGCAGTTTCGCGGACGCACGCGGTTTTTACCCCGGACATGTGGGATATCTATTATATTATATCTTACAAAAAAATTGTATTATATTGTGTTTTGGGTCACTACATTTAACTTAAGTGCATTTTTCACTAAATTTTTGGGTTTGCTAATAAGCTGCGCTAATGTCGCGCAACATAAAAATTTGTAACTGCCGCCATTTTGTTCTACAGGGTCTCGGCTTTCGGAAAATATATCATGTTTGGGGGGTTTGGAGTCATTTTCAGGCCCAAAACGTGGATTTTAACGTGTAAACAAAAAAAATGAAAGAAAGGCCTTTGTCCTGAAGGGGTTCGGAGACATCTCTGTGAGTATTGATATCAGCTCTGTGACACTGTGTAACCCTTTGCATTGAATGTACTGTCCCTTTAAGAGTCTCAGACAAGGGGCTGAATGGGTTAAAGTGTGAAGGTGGATGAGGGATTTTGGTGGCAGCGCCGCGTCGCCCGTCCCCTGCCGCCTCTCCTTGCGGTCAGGACACAGCGAGCGAGAAACCTGTGCGCTGAATTTGTCTTCCGCAGACTGCGATGGGAAGCGGCAGGAATGGGGTCAAGGCGTTTAGCGGGAACAGCGGGCTGTAAGCGCTCCCCGGCGCAGGGCAGGAATGCGGGTCACCAGGACGGTTGTATTCGCTTCCAGCGCCAACAAGACGGCGAGGAACGTCGCTGGAATACCAATCAGCGATTTGGACGGCCTTCCCCAGCGCCAATCCTTCACCGCAGCCAGCCGCTCATTTCACGGCGGCGGTGTCGCCTCCTGGGGGCGCCGCGCTGCCTGTAACCCTTTGCGGGATCGGCCCGCCTTCTTGGCGGCTGAAAGTGTTAATCTGTGTTGTGTTGACGAGTCTCTGCGGCGGGGATCGATTTAAAGGTTGCGCCCTTTATGGGAAGCCGCGAGATTTTAATGACATTGATAATGTCACGCTGCGCGGTCACATATTAAAAGTTCATTACGCCTGACGGTGAGCGCGCCGCCGTATATCACACGGCTGGTAACAAACAGCGGGCGGTCACAGCGGCCAAACGTAACCAGCGCTACGGATTCACAGGCAGATTGTGAAGGGAATCTCACACCGATACATTGATACACTGAGACACCGATACACCGATACACCGAGACACCGAGACACCGATACACAGAGACACAGAGACACCGAGACACCGATACACTGAGACACCGATACATTGATACACCGATACACTGAGACACCGATACACTGAGACACCGAGACACTGAGACACCGATACACTGAGACACCGATACACTGAGACACCGATACACTGAGACACTGAGACACTGAGACACCGATACACTGAGACACCGATACATTGATACACCGAGACATCCGATACATTGATACTCCGATACATTGATACACCGAGACACTGATACATTGATACACCGAGACACTGATACACCGATACATTGATACACCGATACATTGATACACTGTGAACGATAATAAGGACACGTGTAGAAACATTTGCTGTCTAGCTGCAGTGGAGAGCGAACCGCAATGTGAACCTGGAAGGCAAAGTCGGCATGTAAAAGTTTCCTTTTTAAGCAGAACAATGCTTTAAAATGAAAATACTGTAGACGAGACATTCTTTGGGGTATGAACGTTCGCTCGGTGCAGATACGTGCCAAATTAAAAGGTCTTTATTTAGACGTAGTATTTTCATTTTCAAATGTTTTAATGTAATATCACATTATGGCCACTAGATGGCGCTGAGCTGCATAGACAGTCTACTTATTTCACAGGCTCCTTTAGCTCCATCGTGTGGTCATAATGTGACATTACATGAAAACTAAAGAACGTTTGTTTTGGCGTGTAGTCACTCAGAGCGAATGTTCATATTGTTTACAAACAGACCCCTATGCCTGCTATAAAACCTTTGTACCTGTTCACAACCTTTTATAGAACGAGGCAGCTCTGTGTACGTGCCGTGGTGCCCGGATGAATGAACCCCCATGAACGTTCATAGATATTCGGAGTGCGAATGGCTCTGCACATTGTTGGTGAATGGATCCCGTATTGTGATGCTGAGAACATTGTAATGGAAGAAAATGTAAGCGGGATGAATGAAGTAACAATGACCCACCTCTGGGGTGTAATCAGAAGGTCACACACACCCTTCACCTCATAATAACCTGAAGCCGACTCTCATGTTCAGTTACATTGTTACTTTTCAAAACTTTATTCCACCCACAACATGACAGACATTTCCCGGATGTCCGGCACTCCCCGATGCTGTGATATCAGATGGCAATGAAAACATTAAAGTGAATCTAAAGATTTGTTTTGCCGTCTGTGTCTCCATTGGGGAGAATCATCCTCATTGTTTGTCACCATTGTCAACGGGACAGGAAGTGATGGGAAATCAAAAAATGAGTTGTCGTCATTCCCCACTGTACACAGTATAATGTGTTCATACACATCTGTTCTGGTGACAACAGTCTAAGTGGGGATTTCCCCCCACTTTGGAGAATCTCCCCTCACTTCCTGTTGTGGCAGGATGATACAGGAAGTGAAGGTAAATCTCCCCAATGTGTCCCAGATGGTAAAAGAAAGCCTGACAGTAGTTTTACCCAAATTCCTAATCCTGCAAATTATACACATTCCCTATTCTATCTTCACTA